CACTTACCAAGAAACAAACAAAATGAAACTGCGAAGAGGAAAACGCCTTTCATCATCAGGGAAATTAGTCTAACATTGCTGTTTTTAAATCTCGGTATACACGACATGAAAATAAATATGGCCGTTTGTTGTTGCCATGGTTTGTCAAACCTATTCCCAGTCTCTTCGGAGAAGTGCTACGCAAGAGCGCGATGTAATAAGGGAAAATTTAAAATCCAAGGCCTTTGAAATCGTAACAATTAGTGTTCAAGAGACAAAGAAAAACTTTGTGTGCTTTTAAAATCGTCAATTTGTTCAGTTTGATATGCAACGCAAGCGTGGTTTTATTGCGACAGATCAGCACCACAAAAACAAGAGTAAAATGGAGCAATTTACAAACGAACGAAGGAATAAATGATGAACAAATGAGGGCTATGAAGCACAGAATTTCGATCCTTAGTGAAGATACTTTTAGTTTTCCATGGTCATTAATTTCACGTCCTCTTTTAATTAATCCATTTAATTTTCTTATTAAGGTATCTCTTTCATGGAGGACTTCTTCCTCTCTGGATCGGTTTGGTCGCTTTCTTTAACCTTTAATCTTTAAAAAAAAAAAAAAAAAAAAAAAAAAAAAAAACTATACTAGGAGTTAAAGTTACCTTTCTGTCACGTTGCCAATGACAACTGTCCTTTTTTCCTTGCAAAAAAGTGATCCCCCGAGATATTTTTAATTGACTTGAACTCAAATATATTGTGTTTTGTTGTGGTCTGTTTTTAATTGAAAGGGTTGTTAAGGTGTGATGATTTTTCATTTGGCCGCTAACTTGTCATTATTATTAATTAATATCAGAATCGAGTCTGTCAGGAGTGTCTGGAATTATTCTGAATACTCTTAGCCGTTATCCACTTTAGTAAGGATAATGCGTCTGCAGTCGAGGAATCTTCATGATGCTGCATCTTAGCAAACCATAGCTACAGCAAATAAACAAACCAGAAACGATTATACCTTTCAGTAGCAGTTGGGAGATTCGTGCGACGTCTCATTTTCACGTCACATTTACAAACGAATTCGTAAGTAACGTGATGAAAAGCAACGAATCCAAAAAAACTCCACCTTCCTGAGGCTTTAACTTTTCCGTTTTAACATGAGTTTTGTAATTTTCCTTTTTCTTACTGCAGTACATTGTAACTTTGTTATTTCTTCGTAGTTCGAGGTGAAGTTTGTCGGCATCGAACTGGGTAACACGAGTGCTATAACAAAATTAAGTCCATTGGAAATCATTTCTAACAAAGCACAAAGTATCTTTTAAGTGTATACTGAGATGATTTCTCTAAAGCTAAGCCCTTGAACCATCGTTCAAAGCAGAAAACTTGAGAGAATACATCGTGCAGTGATGTCATTCCGTGTTGAGTCTTTCACGCGATCTCGATTTACTTAAAGAGAACAAATATTGAAACATCAGAAAATTAAAATTGCTCAATCTATCTTCTTTCGAAAGGATTTTAATGACGAATCATTGCGTGGCCTAATTCTGCATTTTACAAGAAACCTTTAAAACGTATACTTGTTATTTTATGTTGTTGGGGAGATAAAATCGCACCCTTAATTTAAGATCTCTTTTCTTTGAGGTGGCCTTTACGCTTTTTATGCGTATGCAAATACATCTTCTTGGCCTTCCCTTTTGAGTAAAAATTGCAGTTTTTAATTTTGATAAATCTAGGAAGGTTTATTTTATAAGCATACAAAAGGATAGCAGTCAGAGATGCGAATTTTGAATAAGATCTATACAATACACCATCCGTGCGTTTTGATAGTAGTCTGAATATACTAGGTACCTTTCATGTCCAAGAAAATGTACCTTAATTGGAGGGCTAATAAAAAGAGAGAAAAAACCTTGGGAAAAGCAGATCGCTTTTCATTGTTTGTCCTTTCGAATGATTTCATTTTCATTAACCAGAAGTGGTTTTAGGGTCCTAGCAGATGCATCACGCAATCTTAGAAATTGAAATTTCAAAAAAATGTCAGATGTACGACCCCTACTTTAAGCTTCTTGTTAAAAGCTCCTGTGCCATCATAAAATTATAGAAAATAGAAGCAGATTATCGAAATAACGCCCTATTCCTGGTACACGTTGTTGCTGTGGCAGACTGTCCGTGCAAATTTTCTCAAGTGAAAGTTTCCAAAATTGTACATTCCATCAACAACAATATTGCTTCAACAACCACTTCCTTTTGTTCAAATAGTCTCTAGGCCAAAACAATCGAAACCAGAAATAAACGGTTTTGATTATCGACACGCAATTTCATCACCAATTGAGGAGAGAAGAACGAATGAAACATTTTGATTTGGTGGTGTGAGCAGTTTGACGTTCCTAGTGAGACTGTTTTTTTTTTTTAATAGGTTACGGTCGACTGAGAATGAGGTACTCCAATGTTCACTGCACCGTTTTGAGAGGAGCGCCAAATATATTGATGATGTAAACGACACTCAAACACGAATATAACACATTATAACGTCATAATATTCATGCAGTTTCCAAATAAATACAGGTGAAGATGTAGTTTTTTTTTAATTTCTCTCTGTGCTCGGCGAGGAAAGTTGTTGCAGTCGTGTGTCAAGGGCAAAGATGCTTCGTTCACATTTTTCCTTATTTTTCGTTTGTTTTGGTAAGTTGTTTATACTAACATGCAGGATGAAAGTCGGATAAAGTGATTAATTCCCCATCTTGATCAAAAAATGCAGCGTCAACTTAGGTACAGAAAATTTATAAGACTAATTTATTTTTGCGAATATTTATACTTGAATTGAATTCATCTGTAACGTTCGGTTGTCAAACTAAACGTTTTCTTATTACAAAACCCGTACGCGGGGTCAGATAAAGTCGTACAGCCTGTTGAGCTGCGAGCCAAAACCGGATAGAGCGATGGTTGTTTGTTAAAATGCTTATAGAATGGATTAGGTCGGGCCGAACGGAGAAAGAATATTTGGCTCTCGGTCATGCGCAAGGACGTCTCTACGCTCAGTCCGTTCGTTATGACCTCGAGCCAAATTTTTTCCAGTCCAGCCTTCCAACGTAGTCGTTAAGTACATATCATTTATCCTGCTTCTTCGGCTTCATTTTTGGATCTCATCGGTTTAAAATCTGCCGGCGATATAAACTATCGAGAGTAAATTTTTCCGTGACCTTATAAGCGCTGTTATATATACATTAAAAAATCTACCAGTTCCAGTAATTCTAGAAAAAATAAATCATTAGGGTAATTAGCTTTGAAACACCATCACTCACTTTTAGAAACTTTTATGGGCAACGAATCATTAACCTTTAAAGAGTAATTCGGAAAAATCAGGAGACCGTATTTCATTCTAAACCTTTCCTTTCTCTGTCTCTGTCTTTGTCTCTTCCTTTGAGAGCAGATTAGAATGTGTCAGCGGTGCCATTACAAGAAAAATAATATTGTTTAACCGATTTAAGGTTATTGCGGGATTCTCCTTCGTTTGCTGGCGAGTTAGATGGCAGGAGTAAATCCTGCATTATTGGTATACATTGTTTACTTTTTCCAGAGGATAAGATGGAACGATTGACAAAGGAAAAAAAATGTAAAAAATTAAAAATCTAGTAAGCTTTTTTGAGTGGACACCTCCATGTACTTCCAGCATAATTGGTGAAAGTTATTCATGTCTTGAGAGGAGTGACAAAAATTATTTAACGCACGTGCTATCTTTTATCCGTCAGTTGAACAAGTGAAAATATTTTGAAGTAATTCACGAAAATAAGATGGCCGCAGAAGCTATGATAGTTAACTCAGAGCTATATTGCAAAGTTGGTGGAGTACGTTTGACAACAGGGAGCTACGTTCGGTCATTGAAAGCACTACGTGTGAAATTCAAGATTGTTCTTGAATTTGTTTAGCGTGAACGCTCACTAATTTCGTCAAACAATAAACTCTCATCTTTGACCAATTATGATATTCGATTGTGTGTCCAAGTGTGTATGTCGTTTTGAAAGAAATATTTTCACGGAGTTGTGTTCGGTCGAGGCAATTATGATTTTTTTGTACAATGTCGTCTGTCGGTATATGTGAGACTGCGCCAAAAAAAAAACTTATGAGCTCAACCTCGATTTTATTTGCTCCGGAGCTATCAACTTCTAAACCATCGGTCATTAGTCATTATAAAGACTTTCAGAAAACCTTTTTAAATTAGTACATTTTCAAATAAAATTGAAAAATTAACAAATTTTATCATCCGCCAAGAACACCATATATTGTGTGCTAAAATGAGTTTCATTTGCTAAGGAATAAAGAAATTATCTTCGTATCAATGCCTTCACAACGATCCCCATTGTTATAAACAATCTCTTGGTTTCTTGGAAATAACCTATGGAAAACTATTCACATAGTTTAGGAGGCAGGTGTCTGTGTCTTTTGTTTCCTGATAAGTTCCAGGCACCGCAGTTATAAATTTTATTCAAACGGTAGTTTTTTTTTAATACAACAACACCTTGAAAAACAAAACAAGAAAAAACAAACAAAAAACAAAATAAAAAACGAAACAAAAACAAAAAACAAACAAACAAACAAAAAAGAAGAAACTCTGTTAAGCTGTGGTGTATACTACTTGGTCGATGAGGTTGTTTTCCTGATTTATTTGCCAATTTTTTACAGCTGTCCTCCTTGTGACATCTTTGGCTGACGAAGATGAAGTAGACACAGCTGCCAACACTGTTACAATTCGTGGAAATGATACGTCAGTAAGAATAGAAGGCAACACAGGAACAATAAGGGCAGTTCATCATGAGAAGGACGAGGAAGGCGAGGATGACGATGACGACGACGAGGACGAAGAAAGGGAGGATTTCAGTGACGACAATGGAGGTGTTATGACATTTCAAGTTGACTCACTGCAAGAAATAGACTCGGCTGGGAACCCGGTCGGTCTTTCAGGGCCATCAAATAAAAAACATGGAGTGAACTCCTTGGCATCTCAGATTGAAAGGTACACCTTCTCGCCGTTGGACAACTCGTCAACGTATCAAGGAATCCCTGTGAAAAGTGTCAACCTGTCTGTGTACCTCACTGGTCCCCAAGCCAGCCTTGATCTGCAAGTGATGCTGTTTTTGGAGGGAGGAATCGTCGGTTTTGGAAACGAGACATTTTCAGTGCGAAGAGGAACCTTCAAATTCAACATCAAGGTTCGTTTGATGTTTAATATGGTTATGATGACGCATATTTCCCAGAGCGTCTGTGTGATTTCAGATCGATATCGCAATATTACATTTAAGTTGGTTTCGGAGCATAGACCACTTCTAGCTTTCTCTTATGCTCAACTGAGCCGCAGACTTAAGAGGAATGAAGTTACTGTGGTCTGCTTAGGTATAGTGACAAGTTAGTAAGCAACGGAGAGTGTTTTTAAAAAATCCCACGGCTTAGAATTTATTTCGATTGGGAGTCATCATGATAAAAACCAAAACCAAATCAATCATAATAGCCAATTAAAACTTAACTTATGTATGTATTGTATGTATTTACGATATTTGGACAGGCCAGCCCAGTTCAGCTTGAAGCTGGTTTAAATAGGGACCTGTACATCCCACCATCCCACCCTGNCCTATCTTTTGTTGCTTAGTATGCTCGCATCTCTATGTTGCTTTTATTAATTGGTTTGGCCGACGCCTTTACAAAGCTCATGTTGCAAGATTCATTCATAACAGTCTGCTATCTTTCCGTAGCACTAATAAATAACTCGATACAGAAAAAAAAAAAAAAAAAAGAAAAAAAACCTTCTGTGGTATAGTAGAATATAACGTTTTTACAATGGCCATCGTTTTACATCATTCTCCTTCCCTGAAAAAAAAAAAAGAATTTTTAAAAACTTTTTCTCATAGTTTAGCAGTAGTGGCTTGTGGCTCCTTTGAGTCTGTTGTTCCTGTTTTTTTATATTCGATTCCTCTTTGGGATGATTTGGTAACTAAATCGGTCTCCAAAACATGCTAACATTTTAAAGAGATTCTCTTTACAACTTCTTAAAACAATACAATACTGTTGTCCCTGGATACCTAGGATAATAGCTATCACAAAGGCCTTATTACTCGAGCGTCTTCTCAAAGGCGCTGAGAAAGAGTGCATGGTAACAAATTCCATTTGTCAAACAATGGTCGAATTTAAAAATTTATTTCGTAGTTGCAAAATTGAAAAGCTATATTGGTAACCTTTGGTCGAAAACCCTCTTATTTCCCATTTTCAGGCTCCTTTTATTGGACCAGATAACAGTCAAGTACCTTATCTCAGTTAGCAGTTAGTAAAGGAAGTATAAGTTTACGATAATGAAAAAGCTATTAGCGGTAAAGAGCTTGATGACTAAACAGACTCCTTCTCGCATCCTTAGCTCTGACATGCATGGTTGCCATAAGCAATGGATGGCGAAAGCGTAATATATGTGAGCGAGAAGCAATGAGTGACGTAGTAAGTTTAAATTAGACGTGACATGAAATTGACATATGTCGAAGGTGAAATATCCAATAAAACGATCACATTTTAGCACGATATATTGTTTGAGTCTTTGTTTCCGACTGACCGTTAGACAGATTTCGTGGCAGGCAAATTCATTTCTCGAAAGCTTCGGGCAGATTGAAAAATAGCATTCCCAGTTTCGGAACTCATACAGGGAGTTATGACTGTGATTTTAATCACCTTACTGTGAAAAAAAGAATAAATAATAAGATCAGTTCCAAATTCAGTGCCCAGTTCATGATAGACTCGCCTAACAGACTAAACGGAATAGTCGAGACTTTTCTCTCTCCACTATTTTTTTTTTTTTCATCCCATACGATAGCGATTTCCTGGTTACAGAAAGTTTGTGCGATTCAATAAGTCGTTAGTTTAAAGAAGTAGATGATTAAACAGGTTAATTCTCATCTCGTTTGTTTTGTTTGCCCGGTTGCCATAAGTAAATGATAGTGAAAGAGTGATAAGTATTTAACGACCGTTATTTGAACCAAACAACATCATGTATGCGTGAGAAAATAATGAGTCGTGAAAACCTTAAAATAGACATGATGGAAAAAAAAAGAAGATCAATGGGTATGTGTTATAAAGGGTAAATTATCAAATAAATTGCAGGCGTCTAGAAAAGTCTGGATCATGATTTTGTCGGAAAATACCTTTTGGAAGCAAACATCAACGTTGGTGAAAATATTTCCTAGCGTTTAATTAAAGAGTTAAGAAGGCTGTTTTTATTTCATGGAGTGCGTTTCTATTTCATGCAGTGCGATCTTGACAAACTCAACAATTTGTAAGGAAAGGTATCTCTTCTATGGCAACAAAATCAATAACAGTTGCGGAGTTTGTTTTACGGTGGAAGGAAATGGACGAAAACTTTTGATGTATATCAACAATTTTGAATTTGGGTAGCAACCCTGAAATAATTCAAACACCCAAATCCCTAAGTTGATTTAACAAACAAATTATCTTCCTGCTTCAGTCATTGCCCAACCGAAATACTAAGAAATGGACAAATGTTTCTTATATAGCAACTGTTTCTTTTAATCAATTTATTAAAATGAAAGCTATCAGAAGAGGGAACTTACTCGTGAGATCTTGGGACTGTTAAGGGTTAGAACTCCACAGTTACAAAGGAAAAATAGAGAGCTTGCAAAAAAAAGGACGAAAACATGTTAATATATTCTGTGTAAACAGGAAACTCTTCAACTTTATCAGTGGTTCTTGCCTTTGCCACTTCAATTATTATCACTTGACTTCCAAATCGACGTTTTTCGGTGAAAAATGGACCGCTTATAATTCAAGGTCGAGTTTAAAAGATTCCTAATGCTTTATGTAATTAAAATTCCTAATTTAATCTATCCTTTAGCTGTCAAAAATATTCGTATCTCGTCACGCGATCTAAGCAATTTGATTCTATAGCGGTAAATAATGTCGCTTTACTTTCTACCCGCTACCAAAAATCTACATCGTGGTTCGAATTTCTTAGATTTTTCATTCTAGCGCTTGTAAAAGTCTGGTGAAAGTGCTAATGCGTGCCAGACCCACCTCAGACTGCATGGCGTACGGTAGACATGGGATCGTGCAGAGTTTTTCTTTGTTAATGTGTTTCCAAAGTTGTACATCGCGTAAACAACAGTAATATTGCCCTAACAACGACTTCTATTTGGCTAAACAAGTCATTATATCCCAAAATACTAGCAATCTTAATATAAAGTGAAGGGTTTGAAATCTTTCTTGTAAATTTTATGGGAGATTAGGGAGGAGTAGAGAACAAGGAAGCTGAATACCGTTAAAAATCGAGAAGCGCTTGAAGTAAACTTTTTTTCAGGGTGTTTTAAATGTATGTTTGGCGACAACTGGTGTAATGTCAACGAAATGGTATATCGAACAATACAAGCAACTGCCAATTGAAACGTCAGAGCTCGAGGAGATAATTAGTTTCCAGTTAATTGCTATATTAATGCGCGTGAAATAAGGTTTTTCATCATTTTCTTTTCTCGTCGAGGGAAGAGGTTGTTGCTGTCCTAAGAGTCGAGCGGCGCTGAAACTTGACATGGTTCTCTCTCGTCCCTCCTTGTTATTCGTCTGTTTTGGTGAGTAAACTAGACAGGAAAATAGATTCAGTTTCTCCCTTTATTATGGAAATTATGGTGCCATGAAAATTAATGATTTGTGACTAACTGACTGATTAAGTTGAGCTGATTTATTTTTTATTTCATTCTAATCGAGCAGGGAGGAAACTTCGTTAATTAAGATTTATTTTCATTTTATTTTCTTTGCCTATAATCTCTGTTGATCTCAATTTCAATTTTATATGACCATGATCGAGTCTTAATTTTTAATTTGTTCCAACCGATATGGCACGGTAGCGAAAGAAAGCACGACAGCCTTTTTATAGTATTCATTTTAATTTTAGTTTAATTGAGTTCACGAAACGTGTTTAAATCCAACTTACAGTTTTTCAAAATATAATAAGGGAAAGAAAAACCAAAATCGTACAAATAGGGGCCACTATACCAAAATGCCTTTAAAGCAATATGAGAATACAGTTTTGCAGCCAAAACTATACTTAAAGAGGTCAATTACTTGAAGCAGTGAATTTCTCATTTAACCAGTAAAAGTAGCTCTAGCCGATCTGTTCAAAGTTTATTTTCATCTGGTTTTCAAACTTATTCGCGTGAGAAAGATTCTTTAAGTGTATTTCCATCACCAAAGGAAATTTACTGAATAGTTCAATATCTTAAAGGTGATTAGAGCATTTCATTTTCAACCTCAAAAAAATTAATATCTTTATGACCTACTCATACTGCGAGCCATTAAACCACTTCAGTAACAGACTTCCAGTCTAATTTTTCTGTGAAGTAATATCACTATATCGACTACTCTGCGAGAGAAAAACTTTCACACGTTTTACAATATAACAGAAACGATCAGTGTGTAGTCTGTTTATGACAAACTAGAGCACGCTTACTAAAAAATGATAGCATTCTATTTTCATATCTGGAAAGGAGAGATCAGTGCCCAGTCGACGCTCTCCCAAAGTAGATACGCAGGGAACCTATTACCGAGATAGGCACGTTCAGAGTTAGCGTCAGCTCTCATGAGTTTCTCGCGGCCCGTAAAGAAAGCCAAAGCATGTCGAATATGTGACACTACTTGCTCTCTGAGGCAGCTTAGCGGTAAACCAAAGGCAATGGTATGATTTCGTGTTATTTGGCTGATTTTCAAAGGCGTTTTTCATTTTCACAGGCTTAATCTCTCTTTGTTATATTGAAATGTTGCCAGGATCGAAAAACACACACTCCTCGTATTTATTTATAGACGAATGCATTGCGTTTGTAATACCGCAATTAAAATGGTCATAGATTTTATTTTTTCGAACCATAAGGTGTAAAAGAAGACCAATTCATTGCTTCTAAACAAACACGAATGCAAATTATTTTTAAAAATTTTCTCCTAATCAGCCAATGAATACGGAAGCCAATATGTGATTTGGCCTAACGTCACACATCAATATAACCAATGCTGAACCATACTTGGATATTCTGACTAAAACCTCATCTTAATCTAACTATAAGTTAGCATCAATACGAGTTTTTCGTTAAACTATTTACATGAAGAATATTGATTCTCGATTCACTCGAACAAGTAATATTATATAATAAAGGATTTATGTGTATAGCTAAGGGTTAGCTAATACAAAGACGATAACACAATCGCCTCGAAAATTCGACTTTTTAAACTTGGGTTGAAACGAATATTTTTAATTCGAAGTTTAAGCTGCTCGGTCAATTAATGTACATAAGTTGGCTTTCATTTATTATTTATTATTTATTTTACAACATGACATCAGTACGCAAATTCTCCGAACTGTTCTCCCTGCTTTTCCTTAATATGCTGACAAGGGTAAGTTTACGAACCCAGTGGCCCATTAGGCCGGTGCTTAACTCCGGTTTCTGTAGCATGAAGCGACTAGGAGTATTTCTACTCCCCCCTGGATGGGATGCCAGTCCATCGCAGGGTTACCCCCAGCATTAAATTGCCGGTACCTATTTATACACCTGGGTGAAGAGAGGCACTGTGAGAGTAAAGTGTCTTGCCTAAGAACACAACACTCGAACCCGGACCACTCGATCCGGAGTCGAGCGCACTAACCATGAGGCCACAGCGCCTCCACAATATGCTGACAAGGAGAATTAGTTAAATAATCATGAACTGCTTTATTTGGTGATTATTTTCGTTATTCTCGTTTTCTAATAATGTGTGGTTCAGGGGTGAAATTACATTTTTGTCACTCTTATGGGGTCAAAGGGTCAAATGTGAAGCAGCTATTTTCCTTTTAATTCTCTCTTTGCCCTTTTTCGTTAACAGCCGTTCTCCTTGTAAAATGTTTGGCTGACGAAGATGACGTCAATACGAATGCCAACACTGTTACAATTCGTGGTAATGATACTTCAGTCAGAATAGAAGGCAACACAGGAAAAATTAAGGCAGTTCATTTTGACAAGGATGACGACGACGAGGAATTGGAGGATGAGGACTTCGACGACGACGAAGAGATGCTAACATTTCAAGTTGACTCATTGGAAGAAAAAGATTCGAATGGAAATGTGGTGGGTCTCACCGGTCCTACACAGAGGAAACATGCATTGACCTCCTTGGTGAATCAAATTCAAAAGTTCAGCTTCTCGCCGTTGAACAACTCTACAACTTTTCAAGGACTCCCTGTCAAACGTATTAACTTGTCTGTTTCTCTGGCTGGTCCTCAAGCAAACCTCGAAATTCAGGTGTTACTATTTCTGAAGTCAGGAAAAATCGAATTTGGCAACGAGACATTTAATGTTCGAAGTGGAACTTTCAAATTTAACATCAAGGTAAGCTCCATCGATTCCCTGCTGTACACAGGTCAGAGATCTTTTATTTGAGAGTGCACATCTTATGTTGTCGATGTTGTTATTGAAAACACTAGTTGATCGGTAATTATTTATCGCCGGGAGTGTTGTGTCACAATAAGATTTACCTGACCCTTAAAGACTCTACTCTACAATTTGTCATAGTCACGATTAAAAAAACACACACGCCTCGTTGCGATTCGATTCCACTAGAGTAGTGCTCGCGGAAATCTATAAATTATGCTTTTGCCGAGTCTTAACCTCTTTTTGTTTTCCCTTTCTCAGGTTAGTGACTGGAAATTTTGCGGCACGAATTCTGAAGTCTGCAAAAATAGCGCTACGGGCGCGAACGAAACAGGTCAGTTCCTTGATATTGGAATGAGCATTGGAAGCGTAGCAGAGGAGCCCGAAGAAGTAGAAGACGGTGAGATACCAGGGGAGGATATTTGTGTTCCTGAAGAACCCGATGAGGAACACGAGTGTCCTAGAATATTCAACATGGGTGGAAACTCAGAGATGATGCTCAACAAAGGGGTAAGTGTCGCTCCTATTTCGTGAGGAAGGGTGAAGTTGCGTGTCAAAAGAGGCGAAAAGATGAAGTGTACGGTTCAATTAATCTTGTCCCCCCAAATTCTACCGTGTAACTGTAACGCCGAAGGTTTGGGTACTAGACTACGGTTTAGCAGCGAAGAGTGGAACTAAGGTTCCTGAATGAAGGAATAGGATCTCAACGTTGCAACGGTTGTTAACAAACAGAGAGCCTGACTCTCAGGATTCTTACCATGGCGAAAAAGGAAAGTCTGAGCAAACTTTCTATTTACTGAAAGATTAAAAATCTCTTCTCACTTGGGTGGGACAAAAATCTGCCTCCCTTTTTAATCGCATCCGCAAAATTCAACCCTTGATTTTCCAGGAAACAGTTCGAATGCTATTCTTTCGTGATTAGTCCTGTGTGATTCGACACAAGCCATTTCCTAACGAAAAGGTCAACATTCGAAAGACAAAAGATTTGAAAATCGACAGATATGTATATGCTATTAAATAAAACTTGGTTTGGTGGGGGTAACAATAGATGACTGTCAATTTACTTCTCTCTCTTGCAGGCTTTAACAGGAAACAACGAATACGTGCTATTTCCAACAGGTTTTCCAAAGTTCGAACGAAAAGGATTAATGAAGACGTTCGTGTTCCGCGTTCCCAGGTTCAACAACACTGTACTCATCGATCCTAGCGTCAATGTTGGCACAATGAAGAAGGGTGGTGGTAAATCAGGTGCAGGGTACAACGCAGCCCAATCTCCTCTTTTCTTCTGTTTTGTTTTGTTGCTGTGTAAACTTGTGACTCAGTAATTACGAAAGAGGAAAAACTGTTGGAGGTTGTGGAAGCTGGTAGTAATACTTAGATAAAGATTTGCTTTATTTGCTATATTGTAAAGAAAATGTCTTTGAACCTAGGAATAACAGTCGATCTTAATTTACGCTCGTCTTGCTCAGGGTAGTTTGAAAACTGTTTTCGGTGGAAAAGACAGATGTTTCGACAATATGGGTGAGAGGTTTTGGTCAGTTGCAAATTGAATGTTTGGAACCTTGGCTAGCTAACCTTTGTGGCGTTCACTCTGGTCTCCAGTCCTTTTCAGGACTACCCTTTCCTAGACGATCACAACGCTTGTTATAATTTGCTAGGAATTCCGATACACACCTCTAATAGGAATGCTCAATACGTACTCCACAGTGCAAGGTAAATTGCTCGAGCATGGGTGATATTCAGAATTTTTATTATGATAAAGAGTGAGTTTGAAAATTCTCTCAAAGATTCAAGCTTTAAGCTGGCCAATAAGCTAGTAAGCTCTCCGCAGTGCCCCTCGAGGCGGCGTCCTTAGCTGTTAGAGAATTTTTTTTATATTACAAATTATACTAATGTGAATGATCATGAGAATTAACAGATGTCTAGCTAACCGCTTGTTGGGCGAGTAAGATGTATCATTTTTAACTTAAACTTTTTTCAAGTAAAACCAGCCTATTTTAACTCTTGCTGGAGGTTGGAAACTAACTAGTTAAACATTCTCAATAAAGGTTGCTTTCCAGTGTAAAAAATCTCCAATCATATTTTAGGGGAAAGCTTATTGAATAGTTAATTTTGGATACGTATCAAGTATACTCTTTTATTTCTCCAATTTAGTTTAGTCTAGAGTACACATAAATTACTTTTTCCTAAAACGGACAAGGAAACTTAGATTAGTA